GGCTGTAAGGGCCGAGAAGGAAAACAACAGAAGCAGGCAGCTACAAAGCTGGACGAGGCAAGCCTACCGCTACTTATGACGGCGGCGCAAAACCTCAGCCTGCAAGAGCCCGGATTGAAGCTGCAGGCGGCTCAGGCCACTGAAGCCCGTACCCAAACATTGCTGCAACTTATGTGGCCAGTGCACCCGCACAGGGAATGAAGGGAGTGAATGCATCAAGTGACGTTGCTAGTTCAATAGGCACCTCCCCCGTTTGCAACTACACCATGCCAAAAAGCTCAAACGAACACATTCTGTGCCACATACAGCGGCTATCTTGCATAGGATGCAAGCACCAGTTGCAGGTTCTCCACGAGCTCCTCACAGCGCGTTGCATCTTGCTGAGTGGGGGGTCATGACTGCTCACTGCATCAGCGATCTCATCCTGCTTCAGCTCGTTTCATGTCTCATCATCTTGTCTTTGACAGGGCACGTACGAATCTCGCACATGGAAGCTTGTTCCGCCTGGACCCTGATATTCACATCGTCGCTGCCTGTCACGGGCTTGGAGTGCTTGGAGGGGTTGACGGGAACTGCCTGGTGCAGCACCCTCGTGTTTATGACGGTCAAGCTGGCGCATCATGTCATCGTGCTGTAGAATCATCTCGTCTTTGTAGTCTGAAACGGAACTCTGCAGTCAAACCCCATAGTCCTAAGCTGTATAATCCCCTACAGTCCTCAACCCTGCGACTTTAAAGAATACACCCTGACATGAAGCCTGCAATCCTAAACTAAAAACCCTACAATCCTACAACCCTAACCTCTAGACCCGAAACCTTGCGATCCTACAATCCCGTCCAAGGGCCTCCTTCGTTGGCGACCTCGGGGTCAATCTTGCTCCTGGCAGGTCCATGGGAGCAAAGGCTTTGGGGCAGGTTGACGGTCAAAGGGTTTCAAGGCCAAGGCGAAGGGGGGCGCGCTCGGGGCTCACGGGCTTTATTCTCTTGGGGTCACCACGACCACTACCACGAACACTGCCCCTGCCACTGCCACCACGACCACGACGACCACCACCACTACAACGACGACTACTACGGCCACGACTACGACGACGACTACTTCGACCACGACTTGTGACGACGACGACGACCACCACCACCACTGCGACGGCGACAACGACGACTGCTGCTGCTGCTGCTGCTGCGGCTGCTGCTGCTGCTACATGATGGAACTATGCGATGATCAACATCAACCCCTCACCAGTACCAAGGCACCTGGGCTGCGATCCAAGCGCGCTGCCTGCACCAGCCCTGTGTTCCGTTTCGGCAAAGGGGGAGTTGGGGGCTGACCGTTTAGGATTCCAGGGTGAGGGTCGTGAGTCGAGGGTTTTCAGATGTTTTCAGGTTCAGTGTTTCAACAGGACTTTACGGCTTGAGGATTTTGGTTTGCCTTGGCGGTGGAGGCTGGCCCCGACATTCAGACTTGCGGGGCGCATAGCGTCCTAAGGTCCTAAGCCCACGAAGCTTCAAGGCACGGGCCTGGCGGTGACTGGTGAAGCGGGATTCGTGGAACCTGCAAGGACGGGTCTTAAGATTCCTTGTCGGGCCTGGGTGTCGAGCTGCTTTGCTCGGAGTCATCGATATTCAATCGAGGAGCTTGAAAAGGCCGGCTGTTTTATCTACAAAAAGGCTTCCCGGAGTGGTTGAAGCTGTCGGAATACAAGTCCAATGCTGGGGTACAAAGCGAGCTTTGGCCCTGACTGGCTGCTCTGAACGTTGCAGTTCCAAGCTGCCTCGGGCTTACGGCGCAGGTGTAGGCCCTAAACCTGGGCCGTAGCACAAAAAAACGAAGCCCTCCGTGAACCCCTCAACAGGCCTGGCGCTGCTGAGGTCGCTGAGCCGCCTCTGGGCAATCGATTCTGACAAGGGCTGGGGCAAGTCTCGACTTTACTAAGTTTCGGACCCAACTTGAACTGCCCACGGCAGCATGTTTTGGCAAAATGAACCTGACCCTCAACCATGAACCCCTCGAGCTGCCTCAATCGTAAGCCAGAAAAACCCTATACCCCAAAATGTACGCCGATTGGGCCCGAAACACTAAGAGACTAAATTCCCACAAAGGCGTCCGATCTTCGACGCTATATCCTAAACCTCCAGTCAATATAACTAAAAGCCCCAAACCCCTGAATCCTAAACCTCAAGGCCACCAGTGCAAGCCCACACCCTTGAAACTTACAACCCAAGCTGGAGGCTTAAACTCCCAAAACCTTAAACCCTCCAACTTTAAACTCTTTAACCCCGCACCATTGGCCTGCCAGGCTGCCAACTCGGCCCGCATGTCACGCTTGCCTGCAGTTTGGTATTCGGATTTCAGGGTTTGGGTATTTTGTGGACACGGCGCGGATGGGGTTTCAAGATCAAGGGTTTACGATTACATAATTTGCATGATCCGTGGACTGAACGTCTGTCGGAGGTCTGCGGGGACATTGCAACTGTACCTCTGACCCAACAAGTCTATTCTGCGCTGCCTCTGCGTGGGCTGGCAAACGGAGTCCGCACATCAATGGCCATCATGGCTCAGATATGCTCAGATCGCAGCCAGCTGGTACACAAAATGACAAAGCAACTTGAGTCTCAGCATATCTGCAAGCGAACAAACCCATAAGTGACACGGCCCGAACCACAAAAGCAAGGTAAACACAATGTCCTCGCGCAGCCACGGAACCAACTACTCCCGGGAAGCTGCAGCAGCTGCAGGGTGTTCCAATCTCTAACGAGCGGATTCAACAGGAACTCAGTTGTTCCGTCTCGAAATGGATTTGGGCGGTGGATAATCAGTCCTCAAGGCCAACACGGAAGCAGTTCCACTCGGCGTGGGCGAACTGCGCAAACTCCGACAACCAAGTCTGTTCATGTGCGACAACTTACGCAGCCTAACACAGCTACGGGGTTGCACATGAATCTTGATACATGTAAACCTCATGAGCTCGTGCCACATGCTCTGCATTGCCAGACTTTTCACAACCATTTGGTGCCGGCATGTCCGGGGCCGACTCCAGAAGAAAGCATGACCTCGACAACCACTGGGGCGCAGTCTACATGTCGGGGGCTCGCATCGCGCAAGGTTCCAAACCGTTCCCAGCTTACACCCCTCATGGTGCATGCATGTATGCAAGCACCTGATTTTGCTTGCCGGGGGGAAGGCATGTATGTACGTACGTGTCTCACCCGGCACCTGTAAGAACGTGCTACATCAGCACAGGCATGCACGAAGGGAGCTATGTATGTACGGAGTATAAGGTCGCCAAACCCTGAATGGGAAACCGAGGTCCCTGTCAAGTAGCACACACACAGCGTATTGTGTTCGGGCCGATCCAACAAGAAACCAAATTGCTGCGGCCTCGCCAGTGAGAGGGGTTTCAGTTTCAAAAACCTTTGACAAGCCATCGAAAGCTCGGTCTAGCGACGCGTCCTCCGCCTCCGCCTTCTCCTGCATCGCTTGCCTTTCCCCCTCCTGCATGCTTCTAAGCTGGTATCATACCCCGATTAACGCATGCACGTCGTGCCTCGGCCTCGCAAGTCGGATCCCGATTGTATGTGCAGCGACGAACAAGAAACATGTGGCCTAATTAGAGGCTTTCTACAGGCGCTACGTTGCATGTTGGTACATCGAACTCAAAACTCGATGTTGTCTCGACAAGTAAGAGGTCTCTTCGCGTGCACCGGAAGCTGTCGAGTTGGGGCCAGGTTTTGTATGAAGTTTGGCGTGTGGTGGTATTGCTTCGCCAGGAGGACAATGTGGACTACCTCAAGGTTGGAATGCTGCGACTTCACTCTCCTAAAAGTCCTTGAAGCATTAAAGAGCATTCCCATGATTTGTTCATGCACCTGCCCACGCCTACCTTTTTTCGGCAGTGGGTGGACGGACTGCACAAGCATCCCGCCCCATGTATGAGAATGTCCGAACTCGAAAGCTCGACTTGCGGCTTCTGGAATTTCGTACCCGCTTAGAGGTCAAGCGCAAAAACAGACGGACTTGATCTCTCGTGTCTTTTTCGTGATAAGTGACAAGGCAGCAATTGTGATGTGATTTTGGGGATGGATTGCTGGTTTTCAAGCTGACCTCTTAACCCTTGCCTTCGAAAGCGGGCCGACGCTTCGCAAAGAAGAGGATGCTTTGACGCAGGTTCGTCCACAAAATTTGTGTTGCACTTTCGTCACAAAGCAATGCTTGCGACTAAACCCCCTCGCTGACTTGCCAGCCCCGGGCTACAGCGAGCACTGCGGCAACGCCCGTGAAAACACGTTCGGGGCTTAGTGCCCTTAGTGTACCCTTTCATCTGGCTCCACCCAAAGCATGCCTGCACAAATCAGCTGGTTTGAGGTGCGGCGGTGTTTAAGAGCACGACAAGCCCTTGTGGTTCGGGCCTTAAGGTTTGCGAAATCGACTTTGGACATCTGCAGACGTGTCGATCTGAATAGAATACGATTACAGTATGGTGGTCGAAGTTCGCGCCAAGCTTGATTAGAGGGTGCTGGCTGTGTCGAGGAGATGACTCACTTCTGAGACCTCTGCCCAATCGCGGTCGCCGAGGGTCAATGCTCCATGCAGCTCTTTGACCTGCACGTTCGCACGATGTCCGCGCTCGTCTATGCAAAGTGGGTCAGCTTGGAGCTTTCATGCTGTTCGACCCCTCAAAAGCTGGTTGCGCGAATGGCTGTACATTCTGCCGGGTGGCGAGGCAGCTGGGTCCGTTCCAGACCATGTCTTCGTGGTGTCATCAAGCTCACAGACTTGCTNNAGCAAGTCTGTGAGCTTGATGACACCGTTGCGGCTCCTGTCAATCCAAGCGTGTTCATGTGCCTCCGTGTGTGTTTGTGTGCCGCGAGTGCCAATGCGAGGCTGCAACATGCACCGAAACAAGGGATGCTTGACTGTCATGTTGATGACATTTCGACCACGCCATACCACACAAGTTGCGCTGTAGCAGCCATCACACACCCTCGCCTGCAGAAGATGATGCACTTGTCGGTTGAGCCTGCCTGGAAGATCGCCATCCTGAAGCTGCGTGTTGGCTTTGCAGCTTCTGTACTAAGACGGCTGCCCACAAAAAGAGCGGCTCATATCTCACCATGACTCCACTTCCCTCTTCAGAGGTCTCCAGCAACATGGAAGGGATTGAGCTGCACTGGTCCGGCGCTGCCCTGCAAAGGTTGACCCTGCTTGCTAGGGCCGACACTCGTGTAGCTTCTCTTTCAGCTTCGTGAACTTGGCCTGAGCGGGAAAAGCGTGGAAAAGTTCACAGCAGTTGCGTTGGCACCTTTCGGCAATGTGGGCATGCTTCTGGCCAAAGGAGTCTGAGGCCACAGCCTCGTTGTCGTCGACGATCTCAGCCCTCTGGACGATGCTTTTGCCTGGGGTCGTTGTAAGGATGAGCTCCATGTGGATTCAAGTCGACGTGCACATCTTCAGCTGGAACAGACTTTGCAGCCGAGCTGCATGCTTCTAGCCTCGTTCCCCCGATGTGAATGTGGACCTCGGTAACATCGGACAACAGCCTCGAAGGAATATGAAAGTATCCACCCCAACTGCACCGCCACCAGAGTTCAGCCAATGTCACAATCACAAAGCCTCTGCTAGACCTGAGACGACACACAGCACTTGAACACCGAGCTGCGGGTGGTCGGCCATCTGACGCAGTGCAAATCCTGGGGCCAGGAAACTCACCATCGCCACGCAGCGTCATGTAGCGAGCTTGTACAGAATTTCCGTATCTTGGAATCGTGCCGCAGTTGCAGCGAGGCAGAGTAATGCAGGCTATACGAAAAAAGGGAGCTCATGCACAGCCCTTCTCTGGACCCGGACACCAAACCCGACTCGAAGCTTCTGCGGACGTGGTGCTCTTGGGCAAGCTCCTTCACTGCCTGCCGAGGTCCGAGTATGGAACAAAGAGCTGTTTTATGCTGACAGCAAGCTGCTTGCTTTCTCATCGCACGCCGATCATGCCCGGCCGAAGGGCCTCTGGCCAGGTAGCACTGAACATAAGGACTTGCCGCTCTTTCCGCACCTGCTCGGGGCAAGCTTCGTAGGTGGGCAGAAGATATCTGTTGCTGTGGAAGTCTCCTTTATTGACCTCCACTTCCCTCCTACATGACAGTCTGACCTCACAGCCTCCTGTTTCATGAGAGTGCTGCTTGCAGGGGGCTGCCAAGAGCCCAAGTCCAGTGACTCTGACAATCCGCACTGACAGCTTGCATGTAGTATATTGGCTGACTTCGTAATGCCACCGTCCAAGGCTCCCACTTGCACCAGAATGGACCAGGCAAAGAGGCTTGTCAAGCCCTTCCATTGATTTTCGTGTCCAGCCACTGTGCAGAGCATGTCGCAGCTCCAGCCGTGCAGTTCTTAAGACATCCAACACAAGGAAGGCAAACGATGCAACGTCTCTGACTAAAGGTTGTGCCTGATGTCAACCTTGTGCAGGAGTTCGTCCAAATGATCCAGCACGACGAACCTTGGAACATCAAGATCTGAACCTTCATAGGGGAGGGGGGAGTTGGTGGGCGGGTTGGGGGGCGGTGGTGGGAGAGGTGGGGGGCGGGGATGGGGAGGGGGGGCCCGTCCAAGAAAAAGGTGTGTGTTCATCCATTCCTGTAGTCCTCGCATTCGTCTCAACCTATGAAGAGGTTTATGTAAACAAAGCTTATAAGTGGTTTGTACGAGCCTGGTAAAACAACCGCAAAACAAAAGAAAACAACCACCTGCCAACTACCCACATGGAAATGCCCTAGAATGCATGGCAAGTACAACAACCATCCCCTAAACTCGAGATCTTTCTCAAACGTGTCTTGTGGAAACCAGGCCCTTTCGCCGCCGCCTGGAGTCTAGCCCATGCACAACTGAGCAGTGGGTTTTATTCGTGTGTGTGGATGGAAATAGCGAAATCCTTCCGCCCGGGCATCAACTCGCTTCCGCGGATCCCTTGGGATCAACTTCCAGGGGTCCACCTTCCGCGGAGCTTCCGGGGACCTTTCGCGCATGTCTCCTATCATCCCGTAAATTTTAGAGCCGGTGATGATCATCATGACCATGATAACGCCGAAGTGCTATTCCTTTTCGCCACATGACTTTACTCGTGAACACGTAAATGGAAATGGCAAAAACCTGATAACAAGAAGCCTAGTGGTGATTGATGTTGACACGGAACATGCTTCGGACAAGGATGGGTGACTCTAAATCTTGCTGGCATCTCCCAGAAAAGAAGGCAATGTCTTCGCCCATTATGCATCGAAGCGCACAGATACAGAAATGAAGATACAGGTGTAGGCGTAGGGTCATACACAAGTCCTTGCTGGCGGTGTGGGGACTTCGGCTTCGGGGTTTGTGGATCTAGGCTATTGAGATGACTTTGGGTTTAGGGTTTGCAGGTTGTTGAGGCATTATGTACTTTCAAGGCCAAACGCAGCTTCCGCGCACACAATCTCGTACAAATCTTTTCGGCAACAACGTGGCCGGGGCCTTGGTCGAGGGGGTTTGCCCCAAGCTTTCGTATTTGGGTGCTTGAAGTGAGCCCAAACCTTACTGTCGAAGTCCACTTGCCTGTGTCGGTGTTACTGCCCATGTCTTTGCATACTCTTTAGAGTAACCACTAGATAGGCAATCGGGCTTCAAGGTCTACACCCTGAGCAGCTTCAATGCATCATGAATTCGTCTCACGAGCGCAATCCCTCCAGTTCCCTCAAAGTCTGTTGGCCATCAGAATGATGCAGAAATTCAGCGTGATTGTACATATTATTACGAGAAAAGCAGTGATGATTTCTGGTGTGCTGGAATCCTTACTTAAACCAGTGGATACGCCTCGAGCACTCCCTGCGCCAACAATTCTAGCATACTCGGGCCAGAAATTCCCGCACCCAAGAGACCCCTGGCGCCCAAAAGCCTGAAGATAGATCCCACAAGCTCACAACCATATGTCTCAATCCTAAATAAACCACGGCTAACATGCTTGTGAGAAGTACTGAATCAAGAGATCTCGAGCATCGCTCGAACCATGCGTCCCAAGAACTTGCTCGGCGCTGAGGCAAACCCAAAGGAGGGCTGCCAGTCACCACCTGAGATGTCTGCTATCCGTTTAGATGAGCTTGGGCTTAGGAACTCGGGGTGTAGGGGAAGTGAGGCTTTGGTATCTAGGATCAGGGGTTTGAAAGTTCAGGTTCCGAAAGTTAGGTTATGAGGTTTCGGTTTCGACGCGCGCACTCGCACAAGGCACGCACGGATCCAAAGGTACACAAAATTCATCAAGACCCGAATATACGACCTGCTTCATGTAAGGCTGTAAGGGTTATGTAAGGCCGGAATGGGGGGTGGGGGGTGGGCTATAGGGCTGGGGTTTTGAGCCCACCGTTTGCATCAGAATCCTGCATCCCGAACCCCGAAACTGGCATCCGGAGCCCTGCGTCCACTTTGAAGTCCGTTCCCCCCTCATGACACTCATTCCTCAAGCATCATACAGCCCCAACTAACCTCAACATCTTTTTGCATCAAAGCCCTAAGCCCGATGAATCATCCCCAAGCCCGGTCAAAACCCTAAGCCCCGAGCTACGCTTTCGCTTCGAGGGGCTCTCCGGTTGCTGCGGAAGCCACGCCTCAAGATCCCAGTCACCGGCTCCGGCGGCCTCGTTTTGGTCTGCTCTTTTTTAATAGGGCTGTGGTGAGCAATCCATAGGGGTTACCACGAAATAAGGGCTGCTTTAATCATTACTGGTCTCCAAAGAGTTTATGAAAGTCACCAAAATGTAGTGGTGTGTTGACTGTAAGGCTTACTAGAAGAGCTGCAGGGCTATTTAATCCGCGCTGGGGGCCTGAATGCTTAGAGCAACAGTTTCGTGTCAAACTGAATGAGGATTTGGGCTGAGGGTGTACAAGACATTGGGTCTTGGGCTCGATTGTCGTTGGGTTTGGGGCGGGCATGAACTGGTTGAGGGTTTGGGGAGGCTTGCAAGCTCTCCGTAACAGCTGCTTGCTGGTGCTTTGGGAAGCATGGGATTCAGGGTCTGAACATGGCCTGAAGCCCCTACCGCCGCTCAAGCTCGGAGCCCTTGACCCGAAACATCCCTGAGGAGGAACGCGAGGTGGCTTCGGCATGAGGTCTCGTTAAGACTTCTGGGACAAGCTACCTTTGAATTTGCGCTGTTTAGATTAGACCTTGAACCCGTGGAGTTACAGCCTTGAATCTCGAACGTCTCCGGCACTGCAGCCCTGTGCCGGCTATGACCCCAAGTGCTGGCACCACTGCACACTGCAGTTTCGAGCATACTATCGTTAGCGACTTTCGAGAAGCCAAAGGTTCTAGGCACCTCAAGGAGCCAGAACCAGCATCGCGAAATCCCAACCGCTGCATCCTAAACCAAGTCCCAAAGCTTTAAGTCCTAAGCCCGACACGTGCCAGGAGGACCAAATCTTCAACCCTTCTACTTGATAGCGTTTTTGTAAACTCCATAGACTGAAGTAGATGCTTACTCTCTGGCCTGCCCAGGTGGCCACGTCTGGTTGGGGGGGTAGAGCCAGTTAGCGAAATCCACCATGGCCACAAAAACGTCTCGCGGCTTAAAGAACACTGGGTTCTTGCATAGAAAGTGAACCTTCCGCTTGCCTGCTGGTGCGCGGACCCAATGCTGCAACAAGAAACGGCAGTCGGTCAGTCAAGATGTTGAACGTAAACACGAGGTGGAGAACCAGTCTTCCGCGACTATGTCCGACCCTGTAAACCTGTAACTGCTCAAAACCCTACCGAAAATACGAGACGTTGGCTGTCGTCCCTGGACGCATGTCAACCTTGAGGAAAGCAGGGTGCTGCGGGAGCAGGCCACAAAGCTCAAGGTGCAAGATCAGTGAGCAGCTCGGGCTTGAGGCTTCGGGTCACGGATTGGGGCTACATACGTCTGGAGCCACAGCACACTGCAAACAAGGGATCCGACATCCCTAGCCTATCACTTTAGTACACTTGAAACGGTGAAATTACTTCCGGGCCTGACAAACTTGCATGAAACCCGAAACCAAACATTGCAAATCAACCACCAACCAGACGCGCGGATTTGAGCCATGCAACCCAGAACGTGAGAGCTACATAGCTCCTGACAGGCTGCGCAAAGCAAAAACCACCCCTCTGATTGCTTAGCAGCTCTTTTCATGTCCAGCGCTGCATCGAGGTGACGTTTCGCCACCAGGCGCTGTTGTCCTGTCGGGACAGGTGGGGACAGGGTTATGTCGTGGACTGCCTATGAAAAACAGAGGAATCCACTTAACTCCCGATCACAAAGCAGTGGTGCTTCCAATCGTACACCCAGCAAGCAAGCAATGGCAAAGCAATGCAAGGCAGAGATCGGAGCAGAGTTTATCACCGTTAGGTTAACTGCACAAAGAAGAGGCAACACGAGTACTACCCTAAGCAGGAGCGGAGTATATGAAAGTGTCAGAGCCATACATACCTCTTCCGGACGCTTTCAAAGCTGAAAGCGGAGAGACCATTAGGCATGGGTCCATTCTTAGTGCTAGATCGTGTCTATGTTCCATGCTGTACATTGCAGCATGCTTGAGTTTCAGATCTGTGGCGATGCACATCAATCGCAGTGCACCGGGCAGGTCTGTGGAATCGTAGATTGGACCTGGATTTGCGCTTTCGATCGACGTGCTCAGAGCGGCAGCTCGGCAGCCTTGAGTGTCAGTGAAAAAAGAGAGACACACGAGGAAAATACCATGGCTAGCCATTGCACCCCTGTGGGTCTTCTCAGCTTCGGCAAGGACAAAGGCATGCTGCGGAAAGACGACGGACATGAGATCTAACCTTTGCTTCACCATCAGATCCGATGTGAACATTAACCTCTGGTCTGTCAACAATGCTCACAAAAGGGTCAACCGGATCTGCTAGGCAAGACATCATGCATCGTCGTGTAGTGATGATCGGTCGCAGCCACCATAGGCGTCTTCATCGATTACGCCCACCTGGGGGGGCTACGCGTACGCGATTTCTCCTTACCCTTTCCT